AAGAAATGCCAAATATTTGTTATATACAACGGTTGTCTGGTATAATCATTGATATATGTAACACCTTTTAAAGGATAATAAGAGACACATTAAGCTGAAAACAAACACAAAGTGTTAATCAATCGTGTTTGAGTAAAACTGAATTTATGTAGTAAAATATATACTATAGTAGCCAAGGATAAGGATTTTATCATTCTTAAATGTGTTATTGTATGGTCATACGGCGTACAAACAAAGAATACACCATTTTTTTCAGAAAATACACAAGTACTCTTTAATAACGAAAACATAAAATTAAAATGATAAGTTGCATTAAAAATAAATACGTTTGAAGTTACCATCTATTTTATTGTCATTTTGAAAATTTCGTTGCACTTCCGAAATTTATGGCATTTCCCGGACATTTGCATGGCCGTAGAAACCGAGGTGGCACGGGAGGGGGGCGTGCCCCCCCCCCCCCAATAATTTTGCCGATATATAGATTACTATAGTAAACATAGATAATATTAGCTGCAGAACTGTAGCTCTCTGCTTGAGAAAATTCGGACAGACAAAGCAGAACTACAGATCCAAGCGTTGTAAAAACCTTCGATTTACGCCGCCGGTTTTTTTGTCGCTCGCTTCGGATATTATTTCTTGTATTTAATGCTTTCCCCCATTTTAAAAATAGTATCCGATAATTAATCATATATTTTGCTCCTATTCCTGAAACTTTATTTACCTTTCAACGGTTCCAGACTTTAGAATAAATGCATTCCGACGTCTATTAGGTGTCATCCTGAAATAAGCCTTTCAAAATCATATACTTGCCGAGAATTAATAAAATATTCTAGGTTCAAATATCATGTATCTCATTTCTTTTTTACATACATATTATATTCTTTTAGAATATTTTATTTACATTTTCTCGGCAAGTATATGATTTTGAAAGACTTATTTTTCGCACGACCCCTAATATGAACGTCGGAATGGGTATTTTTAAAACCGACATTCCAAAACCGTACCAGGGCTGTTTGAGACCGTTGAAAGATAGATAAGGTATCAAGAATAGGAGTAAAATATATGGTTAATTATCGGATACTATTTTTAAAGTGGGGGAAAGCATTAAATACAAGAAATAATACCCGAAGTGAGCGACAAAAAAGCGGCGGCGTAAATCGAAGGTTTTTACAACGCTTGGATCTGTAGCTCTCTGCTTTGTCTGTCCGAATTTTCTCAAGCAGAGAGCTACAGTTCTGCAGCTAAGATAATATGTGCTTGTGCCCCCTCAATGTTTTTTTTTTTTTTTTTTTTTTTTTTTTTTTTTTTTTTTTTGCTTGTTAAGGCATTTTGGTAGTTGATGAGTTTTTTTTTTTTGCTTAAATGTCAGGAAATATTTGGTAGTGCCCCCTCTACTGTCAACTGAAAAATGTATGGCTGTGCCCCCTCCCCCCCCCCCCCCCCCAACTGAAATTGCTTCCTACGGGCCTGATTTGAAATGAAATTGTAGTTCATACATGTAATACATGTAAAATAGTGACGTTAGACGGCAATCCTGAGCAACACAGATTGTCAGGAAAGAAGGAACTACAGACTTTTAAACAAGAGTGATACAAAGCATCAAATCGGCCGCCAAAAAATTAAGAGTCCAACGAAAACACAAGATTTCCAAAGTATTTGAATTTCAAAACAGAACCTGAAGTTTAAAAAAACAAGATAAACGGAAATGGCACGTATACCGCTTTATTCAATGTGAATTACTTAATCGAAATAAAGTACACTAATTATGATAAATATGTTATATCATCAAAGAGAAACGTTTTTTATATACCCACAATAGATATGAAAAGAGATTTCGGATGACAAAAACAATCGAATTAGTTATAGCTTACTAATCGTTTTCTTATCATATAATCATATCTTACACACTCCCATGTTGAGGAGTACCTATTATAAACCCTTTTCATAAAATCATAAAGTAATGATTATCTGGTGAGAAGTGAAAATTAAATTGAAACATAACAACATCTAAGTCTTTCATATAGTTCAAAACCAGTTTTAATATTTTACTCACAATTTTCATATATTTAAAATTACGTTTCGTTTCTCCATGTGCAATATCTAACACAACTACAAATAGATAGGCGCTAATGAGTACAGAAGACGATAAAGTAATCATAATGTCGTATACATATTGTATATGAGATTTTTTTAACCTGGACGTTTTCGGGTCGTTACTCTTTGTAATTAAACAAAAATATACGAAAAACAGCTACTGGCAAAAAAGTTTCAAAGTTTCAAGTTTCTCGGGTGATCTCCCTTTGATTACATAGTGACCATGGTCCCGAGGAGCCGGGAGTTGGAAAACAAATTCAAAGCATAAATAAATAGGCTGTAAGAGGAAAAGAGAACACATTATTTTTTTTTTAAACATTTCAGCATAATGATGAGATAGATATAGTTCAGCTACTTGAAGGAAAAGTCTTGGGTGAGGACTGAGGCACGTATATAGTACACAAAATGTCGACATTATTGCATCTATATGCAGTCATGCTTAGCGAGAGTTTTTCGTACTTTTTTGCACCACAACACAAAATAACTTATAATAAATATAGCATTCGCATTTCGAAACTTTTTAATATTTACAAAAAACAATATAGAATCCTTTTCTTTCTTATTAATGTAGGGTAATCCCCGCTATTTTCACTGTGTGAGTCGGTGCTAAGATATTTGAATCGAACAAAAAGTATTAATTTCGATGTGGCCACACCCCTCGAACAAAATAAAAATGTACTTTATTTATTCATATTTTAATCCTCTTTTCAATGGTATAAATTTTATTTTGTTCGAAGGGTGTGGCCACAGCAAAAATTTGAATCAAAGACGCAAAAAATGCTTTATTTTGATAAAAACTATCAAAGTGCACGTGTTTAGACGTTTTCTGTACAAATATGACCTCATCAAATAAAAAAAATTGGCATAAACTATAAAAGTTTGATACCCAAGGATAATATTTCTATTGTTAATTTTCTTCTTCCCCTTAGTTTAATTTTCCTGAAAAAAAAAGACCGATTTAGCCCCTTCGTGGATTTAGTTTAGCTGTTTGATATACAGATTTATCATAAAAATATGTAGGTAAAGTTTCGTTATGGGTACGATCGAGCAAGTTTTGACAGAGTTATGCCCTTGGACTTAGAGAAAGTCCAATTACTTGGGGGGGGGGGGGGCATACATGTAAGTGTTTCACAAACATCTCTTGGTAATGTTTGCGTTTGACGGGGTGTGTTCAATTTGTTAAACTCTGCACACATCAATGAGCACGGACTGACAATGCTGGTGAGTTGGTTTTGCTTTCTCGCATTTCTACTCTGAATTTTCTGGATTATAGTTTTAATATTTTTCATTAAAACACAACAGAATTTCTTCTTTTAAGTACTAAGGATAAAGTTTACGTTTCGAAAGTGCAAGGATGTGTCAATCAAACGCGTCCCAAAATTCGTAGTTTCAATAATTTCCAGATAAAATAAGTTTTTTGTTATATTTCCGTTTGAAATTCTATAGCAACATATAATTCATGATATTATTATACAGAAAATTTGAGAAAATATTAAATTCTAATCTGTGTCTAAGCCCCTTTAAGGCCATTTTGCCTCTTTTTTCTTATATGGTCCCATGTAAAACTTTGATTATCTATGGTAGCCCCACTGTTTTTTTTCTATCCAACAGCATTGACGTATTTAATATTAAATATTATTCATATATATATATATATATATATATATATATATATATATATATATATATATATATATATATATATATATATATATATATATATATATATATATATATATATATATATGAAAGGCGGAAGTGGGTATCCTTATGAAAAAGTGAATTTCTTTGTGCTTTCTATTTTAATATTTCTTCACTTAGGGCAGTTATGTTAGTTTAAGAGTTGTTGTAAAATGTTCTTTAAAAATAAAAATTAATTTCATTACAACGTGTATTGGTAACGATCCTCTAATAAAACTAATGTCCAAATAACTGTATCTCACTTCCATTCTCAATGACCGTGTAGTGTAGAGCAGTGCCGCGAGAATTCCATCGGCATCGAAAGCAAGTTTTTAGACTTGCCTAGATAGCCGAGCGGTCTAGCGCGCTGTTCCTGTACTGCCAGGAGACAGATTCCGTAGGTCGATGGTTCAACCCCGGGCTGGGGCGGAAGTGGTTATCCTTATAAAAAAGTGAATTTCTTTGTGCTTTCTATATATATATATATATATATATATATATATATATATAAAATACTGTAGAGGTATTAGATTGCAAAGGATTAAGGTTTTAAATTCTGTTAAATTGTCATCCTTAAAACATAAATATTTAATAGATTTATGCCGTTTTGATTCTTAATTACCATTAACTCTTTAAAGGGGATATCATGTTATCATAAAGTTTTGTTATTTTAAATCACTCACATTAAACTATACCTACACACAAAACATGCACCCTTATACCCATACAATATCACAAATGACACACAGCCAAACAAGAAACAAACAAACAAATCAGTGAAAAATTAACAAACAAAAATGTAGATTTTAAATTTTTTAACGCCACGACCTCTTAAAAGTTTTCACCACACTGCCTGAGAATATTTTTACCTTATATTGAAGCTCAAGTGTATTATATCTCTAAGTATTTGCATTCATAAATAATTTTACAATCTCCAAACCTACCATAATTAACGAAAAGATTATCATTTTTGTCTATACATAGCCCCAAAGGCGAAAATTCACAATCATTGTAACGGAGACGACGAAGTCTCCAACGAGAAAATTCACAATCATTGTAGCTGAGACGACGAAGTTCCCTAGGTGTAAATTTACAATGATTATCAATGTAACTGAGAAATTGTCCATCTTGGTCTATAATGTGGATACACTGATTGTTTTTATCTAATGTTAGGATGAAACTTTGACTGTCTGTGCTGATTCCCATTGGTTTGAATGGTTCATTCCTTAGAGCAGAAATATATCAGTATATCTAAATCTTAGTTTACTGGCCTGATTGACCACCACTATTGCTGCAGCTCCCCAGTCAGCCACGCAGATATCAAAGTTTCTGTTCTCACTTATGTATTTGCAAGGTTCATTTTCATCATCAAATTGAATAGTTTGTTTCACATCAGAGTTAGCATATTTGACAACCTTTGTCTGTTTTTCATTAACACATTCCATGATAACCAGGAGGTCACCAGAGGAGGTACTGTACATATCACAACATCTCCAGTTCTCAAGACGTGTCATCACCTTTTCTCTTACGCTATCTCTTACGCCATTCTTCATATTAATATAAATATTTGTGATATTATCAGTGTAAACAGTATAAGCCAGTTTTCCATCATTTGTCACGACTACATCTTCAACGCTGTCTGGTGTCTTGGTGGTGATTGACTTGACAAGCGAAGCCTGATCGCAGTTAAAAATTTTTATTTTATCTCTGCTTATCCATATTTCATCCTTTAAACGGACAGCTGCGAAAAAAAAATCCCATCTTAAGCTCATTGGTTGTTGAGTGGCACAAACTATTATCAAAAGTTTTTATTTTTGAGGTCCAGAAATTTGGTTTATCAGCCAGGTGTTTAAGTATAGGTGAGGATAACTTCTTTGATAAGTTATATTTTGTATTCATGCTGTAGCCATGTTTTTCTTGCTTGATGGCGAGACCTTTTAATTTACCAAACAAATCTTTAAATTCATTTGAAATAATTTGAAATGGTGTGAAAACTGGAAAATTCCCAACAGGTCTGTCAGGGAGGTGTCTGTATTCTTCATTAAGTGAGGTATAATTCAAACCGAGAGAGATATCATTAGACTCCATTAAATTTTTGCATTGCTGTACGCCATCTTGAATTTTTCCTAATCTTTTAGTAATATCATCTTGGTGCTCTTTAAGAGCATTGATATGTGTGGCTTCCACCTCCTGTACTGACGCATTAAGTTCAGTTACACATTTGTCTACCTCTTTGTGCCAGTCTTCTCCATGTTTTCTTATGGCTCTTTTGATATTCTTATAAATGCTTTCTAGCTGCCTCAACCGAAAATGAACACTGGAGGCAATGAATTGGTGAGTAGGGATAATAGTTTCTTTGAGCTCTTCAAAATCTTTATAAATGTCATCCTTCCTTGACCTGAATATATCTGATATTATAGAGAGCTGATGATTCCTATGTGTGTCACTGGAAATGACACATCTACGGCAAAGAGGAATATTACAGTCTTTGCAGAAAGATTCGCAAAGGCTGTCAGAATGATTGGTACACTGAGGGAAGATGAGAGTGGATTTCCTGTCCTTGAAGTCAACAATTTTGTGTGCTTTTGAGAGCTCTTTTGAGAAGTGCTCTCCGACACAAACTTTGCACAGTTTAACAAAGCATACATCACAGTGTACTACATTGTTCTTGCAAATGTCACATTGCACCACGTCCTGGGCTGTGGTAGCGGTGGCCATGAATTTGAGTTATGAAAAAACGGATGAAAGGCATTCACTAAAAATGATCATAGTAAATAGAAGTATATCTAACTCAATCATTTTAGTAAAATATTTTAAAGGTTAGTTAGCAGAAGTGAACATGAGAAGAACACTTAGTGTATATTGTTGGAGAAAACTAACTTGAAATTTATTTCAGTACTGACTGTCTTGCGTTAAAATGCACAATACTGAAAAATATGAATTACATACATGTATATGAATAATGTAAACACAGAAGGTGTTATTTTATGATTGCAAAACTAGTCAATAGCCTATTGAAAGGATGCAATAAAAACAAAGACATGGTCATATAAAAATACTTGCAGTATTTTGTTTTTACATATTTATCGGCTATTAGAAATGCATTTAAAGGTACAACTTTAAACCTAAAAAAATGAATAGTGAGCTATTAGTAATGAATGATCGAATTGGATTAAATTTCATCAAAATTAGAAAAATAAGAAGAAATCCTTAATAGTCTTTCAATAGAAGCTGAAATCATAAAGAAAGAAAAAAAAAACCCACTTACCTGCGCCTGTATACGCCTCTTTGTGATCTGAGTTGGGATGATTGTCACATGCAATAAATTTTACTAACTGATAAAAATGTATCTATTTTGTACCTGTTAGAGGGTGAACTGCACACATATGCTATCTATAATCTCTGTCACCGTCATTCTACTTTGTATGTAAATGATTGATAAGAATTTAAACCCTGTTAAAAATGTTTTCCTTTCCAACCTCAGTGCATGTATTTTAATGGGAAATAATTTAATTTTAGTTGTAACACGTAATTTGATTGGATAAAAGATTTCATTTATATCGTATAACATAAGTTGCCTACGTCACAATGAGTTACGTCAAAAGCGTATTACTCCGCTTCACGTTACTTTTAAAATATGCTCAATTTGAAGCCATTTTTCGGAGGAAAAATTGTCTTATTGTCTACACTGAAATTAATTTATAAGGAATGAAGCTTATTTTTTTTTTATTTATTTATTTAATTTTTTATATAACATAACTTGGGGCAGTTTACTCTTTTTATAAAGTGCTTCGCGGTTTATAAAGCATAAACTGCCCCAAGTTAAGTTATATCGTGTAACATAGGTTAAAATAAGCTCCATTCCTTAAGTGTACAAAACATGTATTGTTATTCACCTTATTCACTGTTAATTGCCATCTACTCTTTCCAGAAATTTGCTATTTGCATTTGGACATAAACTGACAAGAATCACATGCAAAAGTAAAGAAATATAAAAGCTTTGTAAAATATACTCCTAAGAAGTGTTTGAGTCACAGTGTGAACTTTGCTCTTGCAAGTCATTTTGATGGTGATTGCTGGAGTTATTGAAGTTGACAATGACTTCAAAAACCGAGACGATATATGGTCTGGTCACTTCCACTTCCGGTATCTGTGACCGGTCAGGAAAGCCTAGTGGAAGGGTGTTGGCTTTGTGATCGGAAGGACTTTGTTCGATTCTCGTTCCCCGCCCCGCGTCAAACGTAAGATGTAGACATAGGTAGTGACTCTTCCTTCGTCAAGCGTCCGGTATTAGATGTGAAAGTATCGGGTCTTTCGGACGAGACCTTAAAAACCGAGGCCCCGTGTCAGAACAGGCGTTGGCACGATAAAGATCCCTCACTGCTCAATGGCACTTAGCGTCGGGTAAATGTCGAAATTTGAAGCCCATCACCGGTATATAGTGACATCTCTATATGAGTGAAAAATTCTCGAAAGGAAGGTAAAAAAAAAAACATACAACATGAAACATGACAATCAATCATGTCATCACAGATATACAAAGCGACTTAAAATTGATTATTTTTAAACTGAAAAACGTTACTATCCCTAACAAAAATATATTATAGTAAACGATTGTTTACTGTAGTTAACTATAATCAACTATAGTAAATATTTGATACTTTGATTTACCATGAAACTTTACTTCAGAATTTTTTGTGATTTCAAAACATTAAATATGGAAATGACATATATAAATAATATTTCCATTTTGTATAAAAATGTGCATGTATTCATTGGAAAACTTAAAATATAACAACCTGAAATCAATAGTAAAAATAATGATTTAGTAAAGTAAAAACTTTGATTTACTAAAGTAAAAACTTTGATTTACTAAAGTAAAACTTTGATATTATATTATATTGATATGATAGTAAACCAGAGTTAACTGCAGTAAACTATAGTAAACTATAGTTAACTATGGTAAACTATAGTAGACTATAGTTAATTATAGTATTTTTTTGTGAGGGATCATGCAAAGAAAAACATTAAATTTGCTTTTTATTCACCGCTTCGAAATGAAACGAAAAAAAATTACTCTACCATTATCACGTAAAATAGGACTTTCGGTATTGCGGCGCGCATCAATGGTATGAAATTTTCGGGAAACGAAAAGCGAGGTAAATGAAAGCAGTAAATTAAGGTGTGGGATTTAGCAGAGTATAATGATATAAGAGGCTGACTTATTTTCGTTTTCTGTGTTTCTTGATGCACCAATATTTACCAAATACTTCCCGGTGGCGGAAAACGACAGAGTAAATTCGGAAAAAGAACATGGGAAGAACAAAGCAAGATAAACAGCAGGATAAAGATGACAGAAAACAAAGCTCGAAAGAAGAACAGGAGCTCGAAGAGGTATCTACTTGTAACATTGATTTAATGACTCTTTTATGAAGGTCATTAGTAAGTTAGAAAGCTCTTAGAATGGTAACCTCAAATTTTTGGGAGATAAAGTAGACAAGGTTGAAAAATCCTTATCAAAACTGAAAAAAAAGATTTTAAAGACATATAAACAGTCCTGTAGACCAGGATTTTAGAATAACAGAGCTGGAAACGAGAGGGTGGATCCCCAGGAAAAGAAGATTAAAGAACTGGAGACTCAGCTCAAGGAGCTACAGGAATATGTGGCACACCAATAAAACTGTTCAAGATAGTATAACTTACTGTTTTATGGTGTCCCTAAGTCTGATCAAGAAAACTTTTCGGAGGCTGCATGTTCTTGAGTGTTTGAAACACAACCTGCAGAATCCAAAAAAAAAGCGACAAATGCCATTGTAATCAAAAATTTTCACAGAATACCAAGAAATCAATTTAATACATACAAACCAGATGCACCAGAGGCAATTATTGTGAAATTCGTGAGACTGGCCGACGGCAACCTTATTCTTCACCATCCGAGAACAGCAACTGTTCATACGGGCATATATAGCAATACCCACTGATCTTGCAAATCACTTGAAGAACAAGAGGACCATGGGCCACATCACCCACCTGAGAACATTGACAAGGAAAAAGCAGAACTCTGTTAAGTATTAAAACGTTTACGTTGGGGGGGGGGAGCAAACTAATATTTACACTACCTCATGATACTTCCATATCAATATTACTAAAATCATGGCTTTGGTGTTCTTGAGCAGAATAATTTTTTTCAGATTTTCCCCTATGTATTCCTCTGTAAAACCCTGTGTGGCCCCGCCCTACCCGGGGGTCATGATTTGAACAAACTTGAATCTAAACTACCTGAAGATACTTCTGTATTAATCTGACTAATAATGGCATAGCTGTTAATATTTCTACAATGAAATATGATATTAATGGATATTTCATTATATGGTGTTGGACAACAAATATAAAGTATTTTGGTTAATCCACGGATGATCTACAGTTCTACATTCGTCAGATATTGGTAATACAGTAGAGGAATATGATAATGATTTTGTTATTATTTGTAGAGACTGGAATTTAGTTTAAGATCTTCCGTAAGTGTGTTATCATTATATAAACAATCCTTAAAATAGGCTAGATATACAAAACCTAAAAAAATAGCTCTAATCTTGTGAACCCTTCTGGACTATTCTGCTCCACTTGAAAAAAAGAAAGCATTTCAACAAAAAAATTATAAAGTTGTGAATGATCAGGGAATAGAGGTCAATAAACAAGACATAATTTTAGATGAGGTATAAACCTTTAACAAGTCATTGCATGCAAATAGGGTTCTTTTTCTGGATGATGTAAATCTTGAATATCAGAGAACATGAAAAATCAGCTGGAACTAGAAATAACCAAACGAACCAACGGGAACAAATGATTCACTGCAAAATTTTTCATTTCTTTTTGGTCGGATATTGGATCCTATATATTTAATTCCTCTAGATATAGTATTGATTCTGGAAAGCTTTCAGAGTCACAAACTCAAAGAATTATCTCGATTCTACGCAAAGGACGAAAACCCCAAAATACCTTAAAAACTGGCGGCCAATTCACTTTTAAATACATCTCATAAACTATTATCCCGTGTCTTAGCACACTGCATATGCATGAAGCCCATTTTAAAACAAAATCCATGACATAAAAACGGTTGTTTTCAGCAGGAAGACATATAGGAGCAAATTTGAGATTAGTTTATGATATCATTCAATATTGTAATCATGAAAGTAATACTCCAGGATAAATTCTCTTACTTAATTTTGAAAAGGCATTTGACTCAGTCTCGTGGAAATTTATTTTTAGTTGTTTGTTTGTTGTTTAACGTCCCTCTCGAGAATTTTTCACTCATGTCGAGACGCCACTATTCGCCGGTGGAGAGCTGCAACTTTTGACCTATGCACGGCACTCAGAGCCATTGAGCAGTGAGGGATCTACTGCGACACGGGACCTCGATTTATACGGTCTCATCCGAAGGACCGATCTCCACGTCCCACAGTGGGATTCGAACCCGCGACGTAAGGATCAACTCCTTACTCCGCGACTCTAGCGCAGACGCTCTACCACTGCGCCACGCGGGCGACATATTTCAGTTGTAACTTTCTTAAATTTTGGTGAAAATTTCCAGAATGCTGTAAGAACTCTAGTTAATGATGCAAAACTATGTGTTATACAAAATGTTTGTTTTTTTCCCAGATTTTTTAAGACATTGTATAGGCAAGTGATGCAGACAAGCTGACCCTATTTGCCCATAT